TCAGCAGCAGCTGAGACGTGTCCGTGCACCGCAAGCTGACGCCCGCGAGGATGTAGGTGAGCACTTGACCATTAAGAAAGGAGCTCCTCCGCGGCCGGTGTACTCGTTTGCTTCTGACCTCAACCGAGCAGCGAACATTTACCGTTGTCAAAGCTGACGCTTTTGATGAGCTGAATAATTGCAGTCGGGATCACATACGCCCAATGCCTTAGTCATTAGGATCAGATGCCAACAAGATAGAAACGACTGTCAACATCGACCGGTTTGTTTGAAGCTTGCCCTTATCTCTTTCACAAAGTGAGATGGCGTTAAGTCACAAGCATAGGAATGTAGAAGTTGCATTTTTGGGGCATGGCTTCAACTAGAAACCTCATATGGCACAACCACCACAGCAACTTTTTACTAGCTTGCTCGAGTCACTAAAACGACTCACATCTTATCAATTCTTAACGTGCAGCGCTTACAGCACTGCCCAACTCCACGGTGGGCGAAACCACTGCCTTGGAAGACGCGAACAGGGACTTGGTGGGTATTTGAATCACCAGACGCCTTGTTGATCTGAGCTGGTTGGAAAACAGTCATCTCATGATGGTCGATTTGATGAAAACCTATCGGATGCTATACTTCAGTAGCTATTAAATGCAACCGTGAAGCAGACGGTCTGGTCAAGCACGAGGAATGTAGCTGACACCCGAAGGACAGCTTCGAGTCGTTGCAGTCAGACCCAAGGAAACGGCCAACCTGCCAAAAGTGAAATCTCGATGAGGCTTCTTCAAACCAAAGTCCCATGGCAGACCGATTTGGGCCAAGGATATCACTCTTGATTTGAGGTTCTGCTTAATTCTGAACTTTGATGAGTCTGACACTGCTTTTCATGCGTGACAGTGCAAGATTGAGATTCATCGAAGCAGATTCTAAATCGTGTCCAGACTTGCGAGGCGGCTGAACGCGCGCGGTCTCTTGGTTGTACTTCTTCAAATGCTTTCCCCATCCAGTCTGATTATCGGAGACCAGCGATCTGCAAGGAGGATGGAAACGTCTGCAAGAGATTGGTCTTGACACGTTGAGTCCCGGTCTTTGGTGCAGCTAGAAGTACACACCGAGGAGCGACACCTGATCTACCGCTCGGCTGTCTCCCTGGATATCGTCTGGAAGGACAGCCACTACTGGCAGACCGTGCCGGACCCAAAAGCCACTTTTGGCACCGCTATGGAGGTGAACGGGGTTTTCTGGTTTGACGTGCGTGGAAAACTGTCCGCGGCGTTGCAACCAGGGAAGGCGTACACTGCGGCGTGGCGGATCTCCGCTAATCTTAAAGCGTCCGGCTCGATGTTACAGACTGGATACCTCACGTTTGTCACAACAGTCGAGGCGCCCGGCGCCCAGCCGGAGATTTTCCGGGCCATTGTGGACCCCCTCACGTTGCTGCAGAACGCAAAGCCCCCAAAGGCGGGTTACTTTGAGCTGGAGGTAGCCACGTTCGGGCTCGATCAGAAGGGGACTGTTTTGAAAGACTTTACCAGCCTTGGATCGACGGATCCGGGTGGCGAGGACGGGGCGGCAGTGGAGGTCAGGGTTACGTTCGAGATCGTCAACCACGATGGCACCTCCAAGTTTGGCCTCAGGTTAGACAGCCTCGTATTGCGCCACGCTTTGCCGGGTGAGTTGACAGATAAAATTTTGACCTGCAGTTTGGTCAGAGTTGTTCTTTGCCCTTGTTACCCTTCCCTTACTTTTGCTACCCTGATTCGCAAAGAATGTTCGCATGTCAAGGATTCGAAGGTCGACTGCGTTGAGTCGCTCGTGGATCGTGTTAACTGAACAAGCATCATGCTGCCAGCTCTTCGACCAGAGATGGCGCTATTTGTCTTCTGTGAACTTCTTGACATCTGCTATGTGGGATTCTGATTCTGATGCTTCAAGTCTCAACTGTGCGGCACGTCGGGGACGCTATGGTCCATGTATATCTTTTGGAAAACTTGGAGCGCCCGCAGGCACTGGATGTCAGCCGACTCCCTCATCGATTCAAACAGCCAAATATCTTTGCTACACTTTTGGGGTTGGGTTTCCTCCTTCCGGTTCTCCTCCGAGTTGGGTCAAGCAACTCCTCTTTGATCTCCAAAAACTTTCGTGGAAGCTAAATTAACGTCCGGGGTCATTCTGAGTACCCCGAGAAAGCATTTCCCCATGTTCATCTGGTAAAAATGCTGCTTCATAGGTTTCGGCGAGAAGCAGAGCAATCCAATTTACTATCTTCCCCTTAATTGATACAGCTGAGCTCCAGATCTTGAATCAACGCGCGGACGAGTACAACAGAGTCGAGCGTCTGATCGACGAGGCAATGGCGGCGGAGCGTTTTTCCCCAACAGCCTTTTGGGAGGGTCTCGTTGAAGAGCTCATGCCCTGCTTTGATGGTATAATGTGCGATCAGTGCCGGGTAAGTCCAAGCGCAGCAAGCCTTTTAGCGTCAACTTCGAACGCGAGCAGGTGCATCCCTTTTCTTTTCCTTCACTGCCACGCTACTCAGGGCCCCATTGGCCTTGTTCCAGCCAAAGATTACGATTAGCAAGCGTTGCAAAGCCCCTATCTATCGATGCGAGATTGCATCTGATCCCGTGACACGTGTACGTACATCTGTTCCGGTGTGCAGCGCCGTCCCACTGGAGACTTTTGGTACCAATGCCGGTCCTGCACTAACAAGGGCAAGGGATTCCAGACAGACTTCTGCGAGACTTGTTATTCCGCGCCGGAAAGCAACCGGTAAGTTTAGAAGCTTTGTCCCCGCTTCATTTGTAATATGATCTGACTCGTCTTTGTCGCCGTCTCGGGTCTTTCGTTGGTTCCATGTCCCAAATTCTCTTGCACATTTGAGTTCTGCCAGCACCGTCTTTCGAACAAGATACCTGGCCTCTTAACTCATTACACGCACCCCGATCACTTTATCGTGGCAGCTCGCCTTACTAGACATTGAATTCCCTCAAGTGTTCATACAGTTCCTTCAACCTCGAAGCTGGGTTTTCCTATAGGCTCTTTTGTAGAGAGACTCTCGAAAAATTGTAAGTTGCATTGTATGACGCTTTTTTACAAGGAACGCGTGTCAAACGATACTTCAAAAAAGCAATAGACTTCAGAAGCACCAGGCCTTGCTAGTAAGGAGAGCATGCAGAATGGTCATCGGTCACAGGATGGTTCAGTTTCTCCGTCGATGGCCCTTGCAGTTGGCTCAAGGCGGTGCATCACAAGACGACGCATACAGTCGTGCCGATGATGCGGGAGAAGAGCTGGAGCAAAGAGGACTCGTACGGCGAAAGTGTATGGGACCTCAATTGGATGCTGGCGAAAGGTAACAGCTGCATTGAACACGTCCAAGAACCAACTTTAGGACGTTTCAAATGTGGTATCGCCCTTGTGCCGTCTTTAAACCGTCCAGATGCGAACATTCTTTGGAATGATCATCTGTAACGCGCACTAACGCTGAACAAGCAGCGTTTGCGTCTCGAGGATGCATCCGATTTAAGGACTTGAGATTAAGGATTGAACGTAGAAGCACGTACTCTGCATCGAGCCATGAGATCAGTGAGATCTTGTGTGGCTAGAATGAATGAGGCTGCATTGATCTCATGTGAGTCACTACTGGATTGGAAACTGATATATACTGAGCGCGACCAATAATGTAATACAAGCAGCGGTGTATTTCCAGTATCTGAGACTCTCTGGCTCCGTCTTTGCAGCGTGCACGAACCAAATGCTGAAGGCACAGGAGGCCGAAGGCGGAGAAGATTGAAGCAGCCGCAAACCGGCCACAGAGAAGGACTTTTGAGACGTGAGCGGAGCCCTTCGCTTTCATCTGTTCTGCAAATGTTGTGTACAGCTAGTACCACGAGTAAACTCTAAGGTTGAAGCAGCGTTATCACCTGTATGCGTCCTTGCTCCTCGACAGCTTGAAATACACAGCAACTGCAGCTCAGCTATGGATGTGTGTTGATTCTTCGACGAAGCAGCTTGCTTACATATCGTTGGATGTCAAGGAAAGGGAAGCTGGCGGTCAAAGCTCTCGCCTGTGATCCTGAAACCCATTCGGGTTTGACGTTCTACTTCATCATACTCAGGACAAGACCCACGCGGCCCCAAAAACCTTTCTCCATTGCGTTTGAGGCGACTTCGTAGTGCGCCACAGGCTGCCATACAAGGCTCCTCTTCACAGCAGAAATAGGCTTTGAACTTTAGTTGTTAAAGGTGCGTACTTCTGTCACGCTTAATTTTAACCTGCTGGACGGACTCCAATTGAAGGACGCTTCTGATTCTTGCAGCTTGGGCCCGGTCAAGAACGGAGAGGCAGTGACGGAGAGGCGGAGCACTATACCATTAGATTTAGATTTGGATTTGACAACTCGAAAGTTGTCCGTTTGCTTGTGTAGCGCTGGTAGCGCCAGTTGTGGTAGGTCGTTGAAAAGGTAGAGCAGATCGCGGTTCCGCGCGGTGCATTGTTTGAACTTGACCTTTTTGCCTGATGCTCAGGACTTTTGGAACGTGTTAGAGCTCGGTGTCTGACCTTGCATGATAAGCAGCTTCTCGCGTGGTACTCCTCAGGTCGGAACGATAGCGGCCGCCTTTGTGAAGCCGTTCACCAGCTTCCGGAAGCAGTCTCCCGAATAGGGTCCAAGTGCAGATGAGCGTGCAGGCCCAGCACAACAGAGTTGCACGATTAATTCCATACGAATTCCACATCAGAATTTGTCTCAATATCGGCTAGGTTGGTTCACTATTGCATCTAGATGCCGAAAACGGTCATGGTAGCGTAGCCGGGGATCATGAATGTAAGCTGCAAACCCCGTGTTATGATACAGATCCTGATGTATTACGGCCGAGCGCTGGGCCCGGACGGTCCCGAAAGTAAAGCATTAGGCCTGTTTCGGGGCTTTGGATGTTAGGCCTGGCATGGCTTCCCACATGCATCCTAGGCCTACGCATATGTGCATATTATATGCCATTGGGGCGCGACCTCATGCAGGCGCCAGAGTGCATGATTAGCATTGACGTACATAAGATGCGTGCATTTAGCTTAATATTGACTTGGCAACGTGATCCTTATTCACTGCAAATGACGGTCGGATATGCAGCATGAATAGCCGCATGCATCCTTAAATAGCGGCTAGCCATGCAGAGCGCGTCAACTCAGGCATTCAATGGTCATTGTACTAGGTCGACGTATACGTCCAGTGCATACACATAAAGCAAGACCGTTGACTTGTAGTTCGTACCAATCACATTCTGAACGTGCAAGTCGATTTCAATAACGCTTGTTTCATGTACTTTCCAGCTTACGATGCAAGAGATCAGTTCCCCACATATGGAGGCTGCGCATCCGGCCTTGATAGAGCACGTGCGATTCCGAAATTTAAGACATGGGAATCCCAAAAAACCTTGCTTCTACATTAGAACAGCAAATCATTCCCTACCCTAGGACTGCTATCTTCTTATGACCTTCTTCTTGTGCTTCCGCTGTAAGCACACCATGGCGCGAGGGTCCCTAAAAGCCCAGAGCTACGGTGCAGCCTGGAACCTAGCCTCGATCCCGCTGAATCAGACCCACTAGCGCCGCGTACTCCTGCTTAAGCTCATCCAGCTCGGCTCGCAGTCCGCTGACGACGACAGGGTCAGACTTGACGTCAGCACGCGTGCTTTCCCGTGGTGCTCGCCCTGCTGGTTCGAGTGGGGGTTCGTCCGTCTGAACCGCCACCGCTCTTCTGGGAACAGCACATTCCCTCAAGGGTTGCACGCTTTCCACCCCCCGGCCCGAATCAAACCCATCCCCTCTGTTTCGTTGCAGCTCCTCACGCAACTGTTCGCTCTGATCCAGCATCATCTCCAGCATCCCGACCTCTTCTTGCTTCCGCCCCAAGTCAGTCCGCAGGATCAGCAACTGGTCTCTCGCGCGCTCGATCAGCCCCCCGGTCCCTTTCCCCGAGCACCCCTCCAGCTCCTCAACCAGCCCTTTCAGAGCCCCGACGCTTTCTACGACCCCCCGGGCGGTCACGTCTCTTGACGTCATGCTCCCGTCAGAGCCGTCCTTGCCCCACAGCAGACAACCAGCCGCTTCGCAAAAGTCTTCTCTGTCCCTTTCCATCGTGCTTTTCAGTTCCACCACTTCCGCCGCCCATCGCTCTTCCGTCTCGCGCTTCATCGCTTCAAGCGCCCGCGCAAACCCCTCACTAACCCGCAGCCGCTCTTCCAACTCCCGCTCTTTTGCCTCACTGTCACGAAGCCGTTTCTCAAACTCCTGTGCCCTTTCCTCGCTCTCTCGGGCCCTCTTTTCCAACGCCCGTCCTGTCATCTCATTATTCCAAGCCCTATTTTCCGCTGCCTGGGCCCTCTCTCCCGCCCCCTGCGCCCTCTTTTCCGCTCCCCGGGCCCGTTCGTCCACTAAACGGGTCAACTCCTCCGATAAGCGGGCTCGCTCTTCCGCTGACCGGGTCCTCGCCTCGCTGTCTCGGGCCTGCTTTTCGCTTTCCCGAGTCCTTTGTTCGCTACGCCGGGCCGTCTCTTCCTGTTTCAGGGCCCTCTCTTCGGTGGACCCCGCCCTCTCTTCGGCCACACGAACCGTTTCCCTCGCCTCCTGCAACTCATTTTCCATCTTGCGACACCGCGCCTCGTTCTCTCGCGCCACACGCATCAGCTCGCGCACGATCCTATCTGGATTCTTTCTCTCCCGCTCTAGGTCACCTTCTCCAGGCGAACCGTCTGGGCTGCCCCAAAGAGACCGGTCAGCTTCAAGTTGACCCTCTCCCGTACCTAGTTGGCCCGCCGAAGCGCCCGTTTCACAATCCAATGTGGCCGGTAGAATCACCCGGGCTATGTTTTCACCCACGCCAGTGCCCGGTTCAGCCGTTGAAGCGACCGGTTGAAAGTCTGGGCAACTAGCCGCACCGGTACGGGTGCCCGGTTGCCCTAAGAGTTGCCCCGATTTCCTAGCCTTTTCAAACTGGTCGGGCGTTGGGGGCAACTCTGGCGGAGCGCCATTTTGAAGCTCCCCTTCCAAACTCCCTGTAGCTTTCATGGACTGATCGGCTTTTGACGTTCGCGCGCTTTCTACTAGGACGGGCTCGTCGGAGTGTTCAGCTCCTGGATAAGCCCGGAGATCGGAGGGTTCCCTTACCAACACTGCCGCCACGTGACCAGCCTTCGCCCGCTTGGAATGCGGAGACGAAGGCAACTGCGGGGATTGAAGCTTCTGTGGCAGGAGAGAGAGCGGCGAGTCAACTAGTTCGACTACCGGTTCCGGTGTCACGAACGACTGCATCGCTCCGGCTGCCGAGTTTGTGACACCGCTTCTTCCGACGTTCGTGTGGTTCTCCTCGCAGCGCGTTCCTGTCTGCAGCGCCTTTTCGCCAAACTCAGCTTCTGACGGTTTCGTGGCGTTGTCTGGTGAGTTTGGGACGTTGACCATCAAGTCTGTGACCCCACCGAGAGCATTCTCCGCTGCTGCCGCCCCACCTGCGGCGACCCCATCTGCTTCCGTGCTGACGTCAGCAGCCGGAGAGTTGCTGCTTGTGGTGACGTCAGCCTGGGGCGGTGGCTCCGGCCGGCTGACTACATCAGCAGAGGCTTCTGGTAACCCGACGGCGCTGCCTGGCGCGACGGCAGGGGGGTCCTTGAAGGCTCCGGAATCGTCCGGAGAAAAGGTGCCTGCGAGAAACGTACAGGCAAGATGAGCAGAAAGAACGCCGGCATATTTATTGTTGATATCATATCCGGAAAAGACCGAGCTGATCACAACTGTGGTTTTGACAGCCAACCAATTCAGAGTATGAATGGAACTGGCTGAGTCGCCAAACAGCGATTGAATCAGCGTGTGAAATGTCACTGCAAACTGCAAAGGGGGAACGGATGTTTAAGAGAAACTCTGCATTACAGCTGACTTCAGAGACCCTTAGCAGAACCAGGTTAGTTGCGGAAGGATGTGGATCTTGGAACTCGAGTAATCAAGCTTCGTGGTCCAAGCTTCTGTTCTTAGCACATGCTTGCCATGGCTTTGCTTCTGATACAATCTAAAGAATGAGTCGAGGAGAGATTTCGCAATCATGCAGACAGGATTACTGGGCACGCAAAGGAGATGTAGAGTGGCGTCCAAGCATCTAAGATGTTTTTAGAATCAAGTGGTGATAGTGTCCGATTGGTAATGCTACGCTCTTCTCCCCTATTGACGATTACGATGGATTTGCCTCTCAGAAAGCAAAGACCTTGGAACTCGAGTAAATCTGCGAAGCGGAGCCCGACTCGGAGGATGGTCGGGTCAGCATTTTTTCTGACTTGAGCTCAAAGCTTGGCAACTATGGCCCCCAGATGGTTCACGACTGCACACCAGCGGAGAGAAACGCAACGGGACGGAGACTCCACGGGCCAGGGCAGAACGCTGGCGCACAAACGTCTTATAGCTCACAGTTCGCCTCGATACCATTCTGACAGCGTGCTTAGATTCTCTTGACATTCAGACATCTATTGCGAAGCTTGCGATCGCAAACGATGCGCAAGCGTCTTCAAAGTCTCGCTTCGACAAAAAGTCCTCGGGTCTTCATTGCTCCCGACACAGACCAGCGTACAGAAATCCGCGTTTCCCAGCTCAAATCTGTACCGTACTTTCGTACTTTCGTATGTGACCCATTGAAGCAGATTCCCCTGGTTCGGGGGCTCTCTCAGATTGTTAATCGACGCCAATTCCAGAAGAAAGGAGAAGGCTCCTAAAGAGTACAAAGGAAGACAGAGCGCATCTGGAGAGAAGTAGCGAGTCGAATCGCGACCCACCCTCCAATTGGGCCACGTGCAAAGCTTTTGCTCCCTTCGACCTCTCGAGCTCCGCGCGCAGCGCCCTCCGCCTGCTTTTCTTGTGCGCTCTCCATTCGTCTCGGACACCGAACTCCGCGAGCCCTTGCGGAAAACTTGCTTGAGGTTGCGCCAGGCCCTGGTTCGGGTTCGAGTCGAGCAGCAACTCGTCAGCCGACGCTGGCGGTTTCCGCAGCGGAGAAGCAGCCCGCGGGTGTAAACCGACGCCTAGCTCTCCAGGAAGCAGCCCACTGCCGCTGCTTGGTGTCAAGTGTTGTGCCTGTCCGCCCCTGCTTTGCTCCGTGACACCAGCCTCCCTCCTTCTCCTTGAATATGTAATCGGTCCCTCGTCCGACTCGTCCGACTCGTCGAAAATGTGGCGAGTCCAATAAGGAAACTGGGGTCTTCGTGGCCACGAACGAAGAATGGTGTATCCTACGTCCGCCTCATTTCCCGGGGTTGACAACCCGAGCGGCGTCTCTCCCTCAGATCCCCTTTCGTCTTCGGACGGATCGTCCTCCGTTTCGACCGCTTGTATCAAGCCCGCGCTCTGCATCGTTCCGTCTGGATTCTTGACACCGCTCCGCCCCTTGATGCCGTCCTGCTTTTCAAGCGGCAAGCTCGCGGCCCTCTCCGTTTCTGCCGCCTGCACACCCTCCCTTGGGGCCTTGGGCCCCAAGCTTTCCGTGACGTCATCCAATGGTCTTTTCACCTGCCCCCGGGCAGTACCGACCTCATCAGTGTTAACACTCACGTCATCAGCCCCCCCGCTGACGTCACCAGGCCCGTGTCCAGGACAACCGCTGATGTCATTTGAGGGATCCCTCGCAAATGCGCTGGTGTCGAGGGCCGGAGCCGCCGTCTCCCTGGTTGGACTGGCGCCAGCCTGACCAACTTTCCCTGCCAGAGTGTTGCTGACGTCATCACCGGAGTCGACCTGTGATTGGACGCCGCTCTCTGACGCCAAGGGAGCATCGTACTTCACGATGTCACCTGCAAGGAAGCACGGCTGGTTTAGAAGGGGGCCAAGGAGACCATCCAATTAAAGAAGCGTCTGGCTGTACATGACAGAGTTGATGCGTCCGTCCCTCTCTTTTATGGCCTGCAAAATCTGATAGTTGTGATACAAGGTCCAAAGCCCATAGCAAGACTCTGCCATGACGAGAAGCGCCCCATATGCAACCAGCCGAGATCGTGAACGTCTTGCACTTTACACTTCACTGGCCTGAACTTGTGGAAACCACAGCGCAAAGCTCGAAGCGCCTGGTACTTTCTGCGCTCCACGACTTCCGGCTTCCCACCCAACGAGCAGATTCAATGGAGGCTTCCCGTTTTCATACTTAGAACCGGAAACTGGACTAATGAAGGCCGTCAGAAGTTGAACGATTGACAACAACTCGAAACGACAAACTCAGTGGAATCCCGCTTGTGGCTTCGCATTCGAGGTGCACATTCAAATCAAGCACTGCTGGTATTGATCAGCAGAAATCGGGACTACTTCTGGAAAGGGCACCCTCAACATTTTTGAAACCGAGTACCGTCCGACCCACTTTGCAAGGCCCTCGGCGGATTCCCCCGAGCACTCTTGGGCGCTTTTTGCTGACTGGGGGGTGGGTCCCGGGTCCAACCCCAGCAGCCCTCGTCTTCCTGCAAACGATAAAGAAGGCGGCATCGGTTTGAGTTCTTCATCCCACAACGCTGATAGCCTCGGACCACGCCGGAATCAGCATAACCATTCGCCTCTCAGACTGCATCCCTAAAATCAGCACTTCCTGCTACTCTGCACCCCTGCACAATTTCTGGCTTGTCCTCAGTGAAAGGAGATTGGGCGGTCAAGGTGAATCTGAGTTGTGCGTTGCACACTAACATGAGGCAATGAAGAAGAACGAGAGGGTGCTGTTCCCACACTTGAACGCGTGCAGTGTGAATCCGTCTAGCAGAGCTTTTCGAACTCTAGTGCTGGGGTCTGTATCCCACAATCGAGGTCTCCATCACACTTGAGACGCTTCACAGGTATCAGCCGCACCTTCCAGTCCCAGGCGGGCGGCTCCACCCTCTCAAAGACGTCCCGCGCTCCCTCCAGTTCCCGTATCTGTGGGACGTTCCGGTGGGGCGAATCGGCGGCGCCGTCGCTGCAGATGGGTTCGATGGATTACACGGAGAGTTTACAGGAAGAGTTTGCATGCGAAGTCCCGTGCGCTCATCTGAAAGGCGCATGCTTTTCACTCAAGGAGTTCCTCAAGTGCAGTCACCCTGCTTCGCACAATACAGGAGCGGCCCCTTGCAAGGCGTCGGCTGTCGCACGGTAATCAGCCGGAATCTTACTGTCCATGAAAGCTCGCAGACTCGAAATTCACATTTAAGAAAGGCGGCTGGACTCCGTCAGACTGGATACACTTCGGTTTGATCAGCAGTCTTTGGCAACGTCATCGAAAGGAGTCGACGGAAGGAATGGCAGCATTGCTGAGATCCTCGTTAGGGTCCGCGCCGAGCGATGAGGCTGGGGGCCGATCAAGCCAGCGTGGCAGGTTCGCTTTTCAACCGTCATTTGGAACCCTGATCAACACATGCCACGCTGGGGCGATCGAGCCCCAAACCGTCGACCTCAATAGTAGTTGAAAAGGTCTTCTTGATCTGGATAATGGACTTTAGTAGGTTTTCAAGAGCGGGGAAAACGCTTGCAAACCAAGGCACAGCCTGCGGTCCTCAGAAGACCGGTAACAGGTATCGAATGTCATTCGTCGCGACTTCAGTGCCTGTGACTTTCCGAGCGACTGCAGAGGTGAGGTTTCGGGGAAGTGGTCGCCGTTATCTATTATGTACCTGTCCCAGGGCGGGGGCTCGTTGTCGCACCGGACGAAGAGGAAGCGGCACATGACCGCGTTCTGCTTGCCCGGCTTGCGCCAGCACTTCTCCACCCGGTAGATCCCGTCATAGCGAACCACCTTGCGTTGGGGGGCGAACGCCGACTTGCGCTCCTTATGCGACCTGAAGGGGCCGAGAAAGCAAAAGTTGATCAGGTGACTTTTATCGTGACGCCGTACTGTGTGACGGAGATAAGGGGAGATATCTCCACTTGGTAGGACCCATCGTAGCAAATGTTTCTGCGCTGTGGGGCAAAAGGCGACTTGCACTCCTTGTGCAACCTGGAGGGGCCGCAAAAGACAACTATCGTGACGCCATTAAAGTGTGTAAGAGAGACAGGGGAAACGTCTCCACTTGGTAAATCCTGTCGTAGCTTTCACAATGGGGGATAAACGCCGACTTGCGGTCCTTGTGCGACCTGAGAGGGGGAGGAAGTAAAGGTCACAAAGCCAAATTATGACGTCACTAAAGTACGGAGTAGGAGATGGGTCCGGCGGTGTAACTCGCGTAGGACCTTGCACTGGGGTTGGAGTGCCAAATGGCGCTCAGCGGAGGTGGGCAAGGAAAAAAGTCACCCTTGCTGGGAATAAATGGCAGTCTTGTCGCGTAATGTAAGGACTGGAAAACAAGTGAGGCGTGCAAGAACGGAAGATAAAGTGTGTCACCCTACGGCAGGTCAGGTCAAACCTGGCCGCCTGATTTAAGTCCGGGTTTAGCGGACCCGCAGGATCTGGCCAAATGCGCATACTCTGCTGTCAATGAGCGGCATCCGACAGCATGAGTACAATTTCTGTAGCAAGGATTCTCGATTGCCTCACATTGACTCGCGTCAGCCGACTTGACCAGTACGACCCTCCAATGCCTAACCGTGAAAGTCCAGATATCCAGAACCCTAAAACTCTAGAATTTAACCTGGCCCAGATGTGCAGAATTTGCCAGCCCCGCTCACCTGACAACGCGCACTGGGTAGCCTTCTCTGCAGCTGACTTTGAGCGCGAGGTTGAACTTTTCAAACACTTGCTCCTTGGACTGCTCCTTGCTCGTGCGCTTGTTGCCGCTCAGGTCCCGCCCGCCGCTGCAAACAAGGACACACATCGCTTCCGTAAGGAGACTTTCTGGAGGCGAGCGGCGGGTTGAAAAGCCTGACCCTTTTTGCTTCTCAGAGTATGCAAATATCAGGATCCTTGACCTCAAAAAGCCCTTGGCTGCCCTTGAGCAATACAGTCCTGTTGTTGAAAGCCCTACCTTTCCCAAATGGATAAAAAGTCCTTCGTTCTCGTCATCCCACCTTTTCGCTCTGCAAATCCTGCGACTCGCTCAGTACTACACGATCCGATTCGAAAGCCCAGAATGTCTGCCAGAATGTCAGAGAAGCCCACCTGCCCGTGTAAATGAAGTACCACCCATGATCCTCGTCGTCCTCGTACCCCCCCGAAACGACCACGCTTTGCGCCCCCCTCCCGGACTGCCCCGAAATGCCTGCGACCGGGGGCATATGCACCCCCCACTGCCGGCACTCCAGTCTGCTTCCCCACTCGGATCCCACACGTACCCCGGTTCGATTCACTGGGTCGTGGGCTGCTGTGATTGGCCCGAAATGGTCTTTGGGCGAAGTGACGAAGACACGCCCGCTAGACGCGTTGGCCAGGCCGTTCTTTCTGGCGCGCTCGGTAGTGTATGCCTGCATTCCAGGAAACTTAGAGTTGGAGGAAATCGAGGACGCGTTGTGAGGGTACGCTAGTGAAGTTGGCTTTCAAACCTGAGAACTTGCTTGGGATGACTGGCGCATAGGCAGAATTTGGAGGGTATCAGGACTCGAACAGGATGCCCTGAATTATAAACCAGAGACTTGTTTCCCTTAATCCTACGCGTAGAGCTTTTTCAGGAGAACCATGTTTGGGAGTTTCAAATAACGGAAGCTTCTCGAGCGTTGGCCAAATCTGGTTTTAGAGCATGGCACTGAAGCGGAGAAAGCACGTGCATTCTCTCCCTTGGGCTCCAAGCTCGTCACCATTGCCATACACGAGTGCTCCTCAAGCAGAGAACGGAAGACAAGCGATGCAGAGTTGGACTCAAGGATCCGGCCACTTTTGACACAAAAATGAGAGAAGGGGTTAAACCAGAGTCGCAATCGAAAAGAAGCCTACCAGGCTTTCTCCTATTGTAAGGCTACTTCAACGCCTCACCTTGTCAGGCCGCTCGTCGTTGGCCAAGGCCTTTGCCGATTGCACCTTCTCGAGAGTTGCCACACCCTCATTCTCAGTCATGTTAGGAACAACGTCATCAGGCAGTTGCTCATCAACCAACCCGGCAGTCAGGAAGACCCCAGACCCCTCTTCCGATAAGCCCCCTATCCCACCGTCCGCTTCCTCCGCTAGGTGCACAGCGCCGTCCTCTTCTTCAACGGGGGGCTCACTCTGTCCCGCATCTTCCCCCCCGTTTAGACTGTCCCCACCCCACCCCCTTTCTCGGCAGGGAGCCTTGACGGCCCGCTCCCTACTCGACCATATCTTGAGGGGATCGTTTGCCTTCCTCAACTTTTTGGTCACGGGTTCCGCTCGTGCGCTAACTCCCTTGTGTTCTGCCCCCCTGTCGCCATTACTGTGCAGCTGAACAGGTCCAGGGACTCTCCTTCGCGGCGTGACTTTAAACCGCTTGCGGGGCTTCGTGGCGTCGCCCCCCGGTTCGGCAGGGGCATCCGCGCCCCGCTTGTGCAGCACTTCCAGTCCCATCTTCTAGAGTAGAGGCGACGAGGCTGCGGGCGTGAAGAAAATGCTGTTAGCTACTCTTGTCAGACTTGACTGCTCCAGAGGCATGACAAAGAACAGGATATACACCCAAGGACAGCGGAAGGCCAACCACTTCTATCCGAAGTGCTTGTTGTATCAACAAAGGGGAATCTTTGTGACCACCTGTGGATCTATTTGACGATTTGTATGTTTCCCCTGTTAGTATGTTTCTCGTCCTATGAATCCGAGCGGGGTTCTCAAGTGAACCTCCAACGCCCTTGGATTCTGAACCAATTTGTCCAAAGCCTGTTTGGGGAATCTAAACAAGAATCATCGAGGAATGCCAAAGGTGAATAAACTTAAAAGTTTTTGTGCCAGGGAGTACTGGAGAGTGTGGGCCTCAATGACAGCTGTCCTTGCAGGTTACGCGTTTGCTTGATACAAGCAGCAAGCTAGAAGTTTCACAATCCATGGAGTCCAAACAGTGCAAATGCAGAAGAGACGGAGGCTGTAGCGAGCGTCCTCTGCCTGATTCTCCAGATTGATAAGATGGTTTCAGAAATGCACCATTCCGCTTGTACCATTGAAAACTCCAAAGAAAGCTGTCAAACCAAGTTGCATACTTACAACAGTTGCATGTCAGGTTATACAATGTTTGCTTTAAGGGCACACGGAAATCCAAAGGCATGCGCTTCCACAGCTTGAAAGCGAAGAAGGTGAACAAGAAGGTGAACCTTTTTTGAGCAAGAAGTGTTGACACACATCTCTACTTCTCCTGAAAAATATGAGCCGTGCTTACATCACTGCGTTTGCCACACTCCATACTACTTTCAAGTACGCTACACTTTTCCTGAAACGGGCCGCCCCAGCGATCGCAATCAAAGCATAAACCTGCATGACCAGTCACATCTTCTTCAAGGTACTGAGTCACATTCCCACTAAGAACAGAGCAGAAGCACCATAAATCAAGAAGCAGAGGGCAGCAAAAGCTGGTGCCATCGCTCCTTACCTCTGATTGCTCACATTGCAGTCAGCGTAGCACCGTCAATGTCCTAGATCTTGAAAGGCTTACAGCCCTGGACTTGTGCCAATTGCAATGCCACGAAACATTTCAAGCGAGCGCCAACCCCAACCCTGAGACCTTGAGATTCCTTCTCAGTTTTTGTACCTGCTGGAGAATATGGTGAGGTTCCACCGAATTGCTCTGCAGAAATGGTCCAAGAAATTGAAGAATGTACATAATCTGCTGCCCTGGCCGGTTTTGAAGAACTTTGGAGTGTAGAAAGTGCTCTGGACAGTGCTGCAGTGCAGTCTCTACCGGCGACAACTGGAAGTGTCTCCAGGCTCCGGACTTAGGGACAAGCGGGCCAGCTTCCGTGATAATCAGAAACCCTTCGATCATCCATCCTTCTTATCGGACGGTTCACAGCCCGTCCTCAGAGCTTCTGGCCCAACTAACCATCTGAAATCCGGCATAAAATCTGCCAATCTCAGGGTGCCACGTGTCCCCCCTTCCGTCTATGCCGGTGGCCTTAAGATTCCGCTACGGGGTCTGTCCGACCGGGGTCTGTTCCCGAGTGGGACATTTTGAGGGCAAGAATGTGCGCCTCGCACACGTATGCTGCGTAGCGCCCGTTACGTATGCGCAGTTTCTGGCCATACGTGCACGCATTTTGACCTTCTCGACCAGACTCGGCCTTAATTAACAGCGGACTGCGGGCCTAGAATTCAAGTCGGCGATGTCAAATTCTCAATTCCAGCATCCATAGCATACCTTCAGCAGCAGCCAGGGCGACCCGAGTTGCACCGCTCCAAGCTCCATGGCTTTCAAGCAAAATCTCAAATATAAGTGCATGGTCGGTTGATCGATGGGTTGAACCGGCAGCATGTTACTATTCCAGCTTTTAGATATTGTTTTGACGGACCTTCATGTGCCTTCTGATGGAAACCCCTTGCGAAAAGAGCAGATGTACTTGAGAACGTGAAGCATGCTTTTTCAAGTACTGCGCTTTCTCTGTGGAGACATTTTGGAGAGTACATGTACATTCCATGCCGGGAAATGGATACGATCAGAAGCAATTTTTCCAGTCAAGAGTTCGATTGGGTAGTGTACCACAGGTGGACTTGCATGATCTTCCTTCAAGATTGGATTTGCTACTGAGGGGACGGACATGAGATGCTATCAATCCATGCCATATTTCTATGATTGTGAAGCCATTTGGGCGCAGATGCGTGATGTTGAGTAGCAAATGAATACTTACAGCTTGAAGCGAACATGCAACGCTCTGCAATTGGGATTGACATTGAAAGGAGTGATTGGCAAATGATCTTCGCCCGTAGCAAGAAAAGTGGGTAGTTGAGCAGCATCAAGTCAGATTTCGCAACACTTTTCACAATGCCGAGGCCACTCTTCTTCGCTCGTCATGCAATATTGCATAGGTGCAGGCCTATATCGGGTGCATAATTGTGGATGCAAAGATGGTACAAGTACAACATTCGAAATGATGTGAAATCCCAATTTTTGATTATGAGGTTCAACCTCCGATCGGCGCCCTTATATGTTTGCACATGAAGCGCTCAAATGGCATACTTAAGAATGTTGAAGCATGCTCCTCTTGTTGGTCTAAGTGCACGAGCCTCACACCTGGCACAAGACTTGAAATTCTCCCAAACAGCCAACGGTCCTCTTGAATCCATCCGTACCTTCTTTACTTTCCACTTGCAATGCACCCTGTTGCAGCCAAAATCCTTGCAAGATTACACA